ATGACATTATGCAGTACAAACACTGGTGCTATTAGAAGTTAGAATACGGTCTCTCATCTAGGGCATCTCATGGAAGGACTTGTTAGAATCATTTTCAAATGCTTAATAAGTTTTCATGATTTTCTGTGTGCCACCACGCCCGGATGAAAACTGCCTTTTAAGAAATTCGGAAAATTCGCCTGACACATATTTTGACTTAAGAAATTATATCAGGGGCTGGAGAGATGGCTCAGTGGTTAAGAACACGGGCTGTTCTTGCAGAAGATCCAGGCTCGAATCCCAGCACCCACATGGCAGCTAACAAGTGTTTGTAAATCCAGTTCCAGGGCATCCAACAGCTTCCTCTGCCTTCAGTGGGCATTGCATGACACAGGTGCACTTACCTACATGCAGGCAATACACACATATACATGAAAAAATAATAATAAAGTATTTTTTAAAAAATTTGTATCAGTACTGAATTTTGGCTAATGCTCCAATACATGAAAGCTACAATTTTAAAGTAAAGCAAACTTGAATTTTCAAAGGAAAGAAAATGGGCTGGGTGTGGTGGCACATGCCTTTAATCCCAGCACTCAGGAGGCAGGCAGATCCTCTGTGAGTTCGAGGCCAGCCTGGTCTACAGAGTGAGTTTCAGGCAGCTGGAGCTACTGGGAGACCCTGTCTTAAAAAGACTAAAAAAAAGAACAAAAATCCAGTTCTGTTTAGTTCTGTTTATTCAAAACAGTACTTTAAGAAGAATTATAGGGTTTCCTAGACTTTTTTTTTTTTTTAAATATTTGGCTTTCTTTTTATCTTATGTGTATGAGTGTTTTGCTTACATGAATGTAAGTGCACCACATGTGTGCAATGCTTGAAGAGGCCAGAAGAGGGCATCAGATCTACTGGAACTGAAGTTAAAGATGGTTGTGAGTGGTCATGTGGGTGCTGGAAACTGAACCTGAGTCCTCTTACCCCCTGAGCCATCTCTCCAACCCCATCCTGGTCATTTTCTTAAGAGTAATTCCATTCTATCTTTTAATGCACTATTCGTGGTTCTTGCTCCTACCTTAAGACTGATCTGTCTTTCATGTGGGCATATTAAAAATGTTATGATGGCTGGGAGGTTAGGTCAGTAGTGGAGTGCTAGCAGGGGGATGCAGCTCAGCTGGTAAAGTGCCTGCCTGGTAGAGCACTCACCTCCTGAGCTCTGGGTTTCATTTCCTAGTATCTAAGAAGTGGGGAAAAGGGAAAAAAATGAGAAATAAAACACAGATTTAGTGTCACTGTGATAAGCCTTATGCTTCAGTGAGGAAAGACCTGTAACCCAGGCCCTCCCATGTGTTATGCGTGTTGCACCAGGGAGCTCCATGCCCAGCGCTCTAGAGAAAGCAATTTTCACCAGCATCTTTTAAAGCAGTTTGCAGACACCCAACCTGAGGAACTTGGCTTAAATGTAGAGCATTAACAACCTGTCCTGACATATGATATATTGTATATATATTTATATATCATATATAATTTTCATGTCTTTATTTCTTCCTGGCATTAGTCTTCCACGTTGCCTTAGAAAGAAGTTTGCGTGTAATTGTGCGTTTGGCGCGTCTCTGGCACCGAGGTCTCGTTTGCATCGTGTGGGTGGGCTGCACGCGGCTTCCCCTGCGACCACTCCCAGCTCGTGCAGGGACTCGCGCCTTCCCCGGTGCGGAAATGCCTCTGTACGCGGCGACTCTTCGGATACTCTCTTCTGTTAACCTGGGGTTGACTTCTCGCTCAGTGATCTGGCGCAGCGTGTGGGCTGATCTTTCCACAGCCTGCAACGCGCGCACTTGGGCCCGGGATGAAGGCCTCCGGCGCGGCTCCGCATCCTCCCCGGCCGCGAGTTCACGCGGGTGCAGGACGCGGGCGTGAGCCGCTCCCTGGGCTGCGACTTCCTCTGTCGCCTACAAAGCCGGCGGCCGCCGCTCTGGGCATGCTCAGTGGCCGCCCCGGAGGCCGGACGGCGAGCGCGGGCTGAGCCGAGCGGGCTGCGTGGAGTCCGCCGAGCGCAGCCGAACCCAGCCGAGGAGCCGGCAGAGCCGAGCCGAGCGGGCCGAGCGAAGCCTACGGAGCCGAGGGGCGGGAGCCGAGCGGTGCCCTGCCGAGCCGAGCGGAGCGGACGGAGCAGGAGCCCGCGCCCCGTGGGGCAGACATGCAGATGATGACCAGGAACGTCCTTCTGAACATGGAGCTGGAGGAGGACGATGATGAGGACGGAGATATCGGTGGGTGACCGGCCCCAGTCCGCAGGCGAGAGTCCGAGAAGTTCGGGACCGGGATGGAGGGCTGCGGGGACGGGGCTGCGGGGACCGGGCGCTGGGCTGCGGGGGCTCCTCTGCGCGGAAGCCGCGGCCCCGCAGCAACTTCGGGGTCATTTCCTGCGCCAGCGGCGAGGCCGGGTTCCGGGGTTCTGGGGCGCCGGGGCGGGTTCGCGGCGCGTGTCCCACGCGGGCCGTCCGTGACCCACCTGAACCCGGCTCGGAGCGAAGGGCCGCTCGCGCCCCGGCCCACTGCTGCGGGAACTGATTTGTGGCTGCCGGACGGAGCCGATCCACCGGGGAAGCCGAAGGCTGCGCCCCTTCGGCCGGATCCCCCTGCAGCCGTCGCCGCCGCCCGCCAGGCGTGCAACCCGGGCCGGGGATCGAGCAGCGCGAACAATAGGGGCCAGAACGGTGCGGGGCGGGACGCTGAGGAAAGGAGGGTCCCGAGGGCCGGCGGAGGGCGGTGGGGCCAGAACCTGCCCACGCTGTTGGATGTAGGCTCCTGGATGTCAGACCAGCCTTTGAACAGTTCATCTCACGGCCTAAAGCCGCGTCTCCAATAACTTTCAAAAGTAAATTTCAGCAGTTGGGTGTGGTTTTCTTTCCTTTCACATTTTGGTGACAAATCACTGAAGTCATAGGAACTTGGTAACTCCCTTGGCCAGGGACAGATTCGAGGGGGTCTACTCCGAGACTTAGCTTCGACCTTTCATAGTACCCTCTTTGTGGAAGGAGCAAATAGTATTTTTGTTTTTTTGTTTTTTTGAGACACGGTCTCCCTGTAGCCCCTGCTGTCCTGGAACTCACTATGTAGACCAGGCTGGCCTTGAACTCACAGAGATCCGTCTGCCTCTGCCTCCCGATTGCTCGGATTAAAGGCCTGCGCCACCACGCCCGGCAGTATTCTCTTTTTTTTACAGGAGGGAGAAGTGTCGTTCACAGGTTAATCTTGGCCTCACACACTGTCAAGACCAGGGTTTCTGATTTAACAAGACCTGTGCAAGTTAAGGATCTTTGCACTTGACCACTCTACTGGGCAGATGATGTAGGATGCTAGTATATTAAAACTCAGTGGTAAGTGATGATTAATATAAAAATAACAGTCATGGCAGCAACGTTTACGAAGTTACAATAAAATTAGCAGTCTGTTTCTTGGGAAAATACTGCTGTTTGTCATGATGCCCTGCAACTGTAGATTGAATACTCTTAAGGGAGAATCAAGCCAGACCTAAGCAAGACACTGTTGAATTTAGTTCTTGGAGCCATCAGATTTCAATTTAGAAAGAAAAACTAATTTGACCTAGCCTCTGTTTGCCTGATAAGACATCATACATTCATCTTAAGAGGCTGGCAATGTACTGTTTTTGCTTTCAGTGACAGATGTAATTCATGCTGGCTTCATGAAGAAAAACAGCATATGTAATTAAATCTCTCTGCCTCTTTCCACCGCACCCTCCAGGAACTTTTGAGATTAATATTTTAGTGTAGATAGCAGACAGTCTGTCTTGTCAAGCAACAAATATTTAAAGAGGTTCAGGCAATTTTTGGTTGTTCTTTTTTGAATTACAAATTTAATGTGGGTTTGCGGTGATTTTTCTGTCAGAAAATGTTTGACCATGCCTATGAAAGTCTATGTCATTATAAAAATGATAACCTTTCTTGAAGGTGACTGGAAGTAGGCTGTTAGTGATTTATAGCCTATTACAAAATAATTTTTATTTCCAACCATGGGAGAGGAGACTGGAGTAACAAAGGTTTTATTGGTAACCTCTGCCTCTAGTTTGGTAATGTTAAGACGCTTGATTAATGTATTTCTCTAGTACTTGTCACAGTGATTGTATAATAGTTTAAAGCACACTCAGTACTGAAATTTTCTGTTAAATCCCTCTTGAATATTAATTTTATAATTCAGGAGAGTTATTTTGACATGAGTTCCTGATGTTATTATAGCTCATTTACAAGTAATGAAAACATTTTCAGTTAGATGTGGTAGTCCCCAATTGTATCATAGAGTTTTACCTACACATATGAAATTGTGCCTTATGGCAGACCAGGTTGTTGAGCTTTTTTTTAGCAATGAATTCTGTTTATTGAAGCTGTTCAGGTTTTAGGGCCAGGCTTGCCTCCTTGGTTAGACTAAACCCATTTAGAGAATCAAAGACGGTAAATTTCCCCATGTTGTCTTCCTTATTTACATAAGTCATGGCCAGCCACAAGTTAGGCCTTCGAGGCTTGCTAATGAGGAACCCATTGACCTAGCAGGCATTTCTATAACTTGTTCTCCCAATCAGTTTCACCAACCAGCCACAGAGCTCCTGTCTAGGCTGCACTGGCAGGAAGTACCCTAGTGGAGGCCACAGGCCACTGCAAGTGTCTTGTTACCGAGGAGAGTCCTTAACAGCTTTGTCCCCTTTGCCTCCCCTCCTCCAGTTAACCGGTGCTTTTATTCAGCCTCTCTTCCTCTTGATGTAAAAAGTGATAGAATAGGACAGTGGGTCAAAGCACTCTCTGCCAAGCCTGAGGACTAGAGTTCAGTCCCAGGGACCCACATGGTAGAGGGAGAGAACCGACTCCCCTAAGTTGTCCTCCATCCTCTACTCTAGTACCCTGTCACTAGTGCACCCCCAAAAAACCAACAGTGATAGAGATGAAATAGCTTCTATGGTGGAATATAGAAGGCAGGCTTCAGCGTGCTGTGGTGCTGGGGGCGGGTGTGGTTTTTTTCTTGCATTCTCTATGGTTCAGACTCCACTGAGGGAGGAAAAAGTTCTGGAAATGGGAGCTATCAGGATGAACTCAGGGTTCCAATGGCTAGGTTTGATTTAGATGGTTGCTTTGGGTTCCTGGTCAGTTTAGGTGTAGGTGGTTGAATGCTCGGGGTTTACTCTCTATTTCTGGTAGTTTACTCTCTATCTCTCATCCTGATGATCATGTCATTTGGGGGAAGACAGAGGCCATGTGAGACAGTGGTGCAGCAGTACCTCTCCAGCCTTTATTTGTGCCCCTTTCACTACTATGATGTTAGAAAGACTTGCCTACTTATGTGATCTCTGTTTCCTCACAGTCTGCTTTATGCTTAATCATCTGCAAGTCTAGTCCTAGCCTCTTTGGCCTAATCAGCATTAATCTGTGCTAAGTACAGGATTAGGTGCTGAACTGTGTGTTAGGCTACCAAACATGGCAAGACATACCCCTGTCCCCAGGATGAGGGTCCTTTGGAGCAGGTGGGATAAGTAGGTGACTTATTGATGTGGGTACAAAGGTATGGGAGGAGGGCATGAGGGAGGGCATTGCAGAGGAGACAGTTGATGTGTGTACTTAGCAGTTTTATAGCCTTACAGATAATCTTCAGTGGCACTTTGATATACACTGGGTTATCTCTTTAAGGGAGAATGTTGCGTATATACACTCTCCGGGATTCTGCTGGGTTATACACTGTTGATCACCTGTAGCTTACTAGGGAGGTATCTAGGAAGAACACGGTAGGTAGATAGTAATTGCAGTAATTTGCTGTTAGTGCTGTAATCGCATGTCAGGAGGAACCCTGGTACGAAGTGGCACTGAGCAAAAAGCATGTTAAGTTTGCTGAGGGGAATCCAGCCGTACAGAGGTGTGGTCAGCTGAGCCAGCCCCAGAGGGCTGAGAAGACAGATGCTGAAATGGGGCTAGGATTCCGAAAGGCACAGCAGTTTCCCTCAAAACAAACCCAGGACTACCATTGCCCTGTACACTGTGCTATGATATGTACCTATCATACACACAGGCATATATATTACCCTCGCCCTGTGCACTGTGATATGTTATGTACCTATCGTACACACACGCATATATATGTGCACACATACACACAGGCATTTTCTGTACAAAAGGATGAGAATTAAAAATAAGCAAATGTTCCTGGAAGTCTTTCTCTCTCAGTGCAGTTAGAGCTGCTGCTTTTCGTAGCTTCCATTGCTTCCGTTCTCACCAGCCCTGATTTAGCAGCCATGTTCTAACTTTCAAGTCAAATAGTTGCTTCCCAAAAGGTTCCCCGGACCCTCTCTGGCAAGTCCTTGCTCTTTGCATATGACAAATGAGCTGTAAGAGAATTGCCTGTTCATGTTATCATGGGGTTGCCACAACCACATACGTGATGGGTCTACATTTTTATTTTTCTTGACTTCTAGAGGCCAAGAAATTGAGACCAAAATCTCCTACAGAGATTTCCATTAGAGATGTGATTTTAATTCTGACATTTGTGAAGGGAGATAAAAAGTATTACTGAGAATCCCACAATGTAGCCCCAAATTAAAAGATAGTACTGGAGAGATGGCTCAGTGATTAAGAGCGCTGGCTGCTCTTGTAGAGGACTGAGGTTCGGTTCCCAGCACACACATGGCAGCTAACAACCATCTGCAGCACCAGCTCCAGGGGAATCCAATGCCTTCTTCTGACCTCTGTGGGCATTGCATGACAGGGGTGCGCTTACATATATGCAGGCCACACATTCATACACATAAAAGAAAAATAATAAAATATTAAGAAAAAAGATAGTATTGAACTCTGAAAATGATATTTGTACTAGGCTAGATTGAGATGAGTATTTTTAATACAAGTTTCCACTGTAGCCAATACTTTATTTTCTCCTACTAAACTTGACAGTTTGTGTTTTATAGTCTCACTGATTCAGTGCATCTTGACCAGAAACTGTACATCTTTTGTGTCCTGTGGCAGGCATAGCATCATGATGGTCACATACTAGATGTTCTGCAAAACACTTGATGTAGAACTGATTTTTTCTTAATATTTTATTATTTTGACATGCCAGGCATTAAAGGCATGCATCACCACACCTGGCTATATGTTACCCTTATTTCTTCCAATAACCCTGAAAGGTAGGTAGTATCATTTCCATTGTATAGACGAGGAAACAAAGGCTTGATAAATTAATAAATGCCCAAAAGCCTTCCTGCCTGTAGAGCCAA